GGGGTGGGGGTGGGGGGGGGGGCGCGCCATGCGTCCGGTAGGGTTGGTTAGGTTGGGTGTAATGCGATGGGTGTAATGCTTTGTTGCATGTGTGGGTGTGTAAATCGAATGAACAAATTACTGCAGCAGTCTTCCTATGTGTGTATGTATGTCCCTCGCTTGCGGATTGTTCGTTGATGATGGTGTCAGATGTGTTGTGTTGATGAAGAGTGTCTCTTTTTCCAAAGTCGAAGTCGAAGTGAAGAATACGCCGTACACTGGAGAATGTCGGGGCGGGGGTTTGCCACGTGCATTGCGTAAGTGCACGTGTGTGTGTCGGAGTGGTTTCGGGGCGGCGGCCGCCATGCCGCCTGTTAGCGATTGGGGTCAGGAAAACACACACACATATATGTACACATACATTCATACAATACACATGTATACATATATATATCCGGGGTGATGTGTCATGGCGGTGGCGGCGGCGGCGGCGGTGGCGGTTGTCGTCGCAGGAGTCTCGTTTGTAGGTGGGCTACTGACCTAAGGGGGGGGGCTGTAGGGCCCACAATTTTCCACAATTTTGGGTCTCTTCCCCTCGGCGGCGGCACCACCTTACTGCAGATCCGAAGAACTGCTCCGAAGAGGTTTGTAATGGTGTGTGATAGTGGTTTTCAAGGCTTTCAGGGTCCTTCAGCCCCTACAGACAGTTTGTTCCCTTTCCGCAGAGCAATGATGGCCAAGTTGTATCGTGGCTCAGGTTTAAGGATCCGTTGTGCGTGTATGTATGTATGTCCGGGGCGTGGGCTTATATGTGACCCTTTCCCCCCCGAGTTGCCATCCCTCCTCGAGTTGCCATCCCTTACAGCGTTGATGCGTTTGTGTGGGTCGAGTGAAGCCGCGGGATGGGGGCCATGGGGACCGGGGGGGGCCATGGGGACGGGGGGGGGGGAGAGAGGCGACTCCTGTCTCTTGTTTAGGTACTCCTTGTTTAGGTACTCCTACCCAAGCCGTGAATGGAGGTGAATGCGTTGCTGGTCGTGGAGGTCTCCCGGGGGGGGGGTCGCGGGCAAAGCTGGTCCTGGTGACCCGTGTAGATCTGTATATACATATATAGATCTGCCCTAGAGAGAGAGGGAGAGAGAGAGAGAGAGAGACATACATACATAGATAGGTACACCCGTGGGGAGCAAATACCGGCGCCGTGTCTGACACAACTTTGCAAAGCAGGCAAGGCCATGACGATGGAAAAACGATTATGCGGGCGCGGAGGCGGCGACGGGAGAATGCGAACACTTCTCTACAGTGACATGCAACTTGTACGGAGGTAGTCGTACATAGTGTATTTACGAGACCAACTAGCCAACCAACCCAACCCCCGGCTTCCGGCGGCTTTTGGCTCTCAGGATGTTAAGGACCCTGCTAAGGCACTTTTCCACCTTTTGCTGTGGCGGGCGCCAAGCCGCATTTTTGTTTTTCGTCTTAATGTAGCGAGCCGAAGAGTCTCTACTTCTCTCGATTCGAAGACCCTGCTCGTGTCTTGGTAGAGATGGTGTACTGTGAACTCAGCAGCCGCGGTAGAGCGATCTTTGCGGCATGGGGCTTGTTATCATTGCGGTGCTTTTGAGGGGGCGAGGGTTTTGTGGGTGGGTGGGGAGGGTGTTTGGTTTCCTACGTTCTTACAAACGCTTTGGATAACACAACACAACACAACACAACACAACACACAACGCAGAGGCGGTGCGGTACGACCGGAAAGTCGCGGAGAGAGAAGGGGGGGGGCATATCGCGTCCCGATTTCCCGGCGGCGCATGTTTGTTGTTTCTACGCGGCCTTCCCTAAAACATGTCCCATTACATGTACGGTCAGCAGTACGGTCAGTTGTACTATTCGTAGCTCGCTTCGGAGGCAGAGTTACTCGTGCACCACTCACTTACCATTCCCCCTCGCACATCACGGCTCAGAAGATCACTAAAATACATACATACATACATACATACATACATACATACATACATACATACATACATACAGGCAGCTCAGGCGCCCTGTAGAACCCGCAACACACCACACCCGCACCACGACAGGGGGTGTCTCTCTCACCCTCTCTCTCATACTCACTCTCGCTCTAGTTACGCGGGGATTTAATCCCCCACTCGCGTACGAACCCGCTCGGCGCCGTTCGTTGGGTTCGATTCCCGGAATCATCCACTCATTGCCACATCACACTCAATCATGCATTCATTCATTGATTGACACATTGCTGGTCGTTTATCCGGAAGTAGGAGAGGAGGGGAGGGGGAACACACGCGGGTGACTTAGCGTTACGAAACACACGTATCTCATCCTTTGGAAGCACCTACCTCCGTACTATGGTACAGGCAGCAGCAACAGTTGCCACAGTCCATCATTGCCACAGAGACACCCACACACACGCTCTCATCGCGGCGGGGGCAACCCCCCTTCCACCCCAACCCCCACCGGGCCTCCCCTCCCCCTCCCCTCCCCCTCCCCTTCCCCACACTTACACACGCGTGGGAGTAAAGGAATTAAAATACCAGCGGGTCTACGTCCTGAAAGGCCGCGTGAGCCAAGTCGGGAATAACACCCACCCGACAATACAAGTCGCCAAATTCCCCCGGGGCCTCAACACCGACCCCACAAGAGCTCTCATCATTGCGGTGCTCGTCATCTCGCGCTAGCCGTACACGCCGTACACTTCCCGGTCCCAGCAGCGCCTCCAGCGCCGCCGCCGCGGCGGCTGGGTTGCCCTGCTCCAGCAGACACCGCCGTATGAGCCTGCCGCACCGCGCCGCCGCGGCCGACTCCAGGGGGCCTTCGCCTGATGCCGCCGCCGCCGCCGCCGCCGTCGATCCCGCAGCGAAATGGCGCTCCCACACGGCCACTGCCACGAGCTGCGCCGCGGGGTAAGCATACATGACGGCCGCATTGTGCAGGAAGCCCGGCAGCACCGTCATAAGGCCCCGGGTGGGCTGGAAGACGCCGCCAGGGAGCGCCGAGTGCTCGGCCCACAGCGCCGAAACCAGCTCCAGGGTGGGCGTGGATTGGAGCTCTATTAGCCTCGGAGGCGGAGGCGGCGGCTGTGCCGATGGTGCAGTTCCTTGCCGGGTGGATGGGTTTGGTATCACCGCGGGTGGTGGTTGTGGTGCAGCTGTTGTTTGTGGTGGTTGTGGGTCCGGCGGTTGCGGTACTAACCGAAGTCGTTGCACGTCCAAGTGGCCGTTGAGGTTCATGAGCAGGTCAGCTGCTGCAGCTAGGCAGTGTTGTTGCAGCTCCAGCCAAGTGGTGTGACGGGAGGGGGTGGCGGCTACGGCGGCGCAGAGGCGGGGCGGCAGCCTCGCACCGCTGTCCACACGTCCCGGGCGGGCGGGCGGGCACGGGCGGGCACGGGCGGGTCCAGGACGGGTCCGGGCGGTTCGTTAGGTGTGGTGACAGAGAGGAAGGGAAAGGGGGAAGGGTGGGAGAGGAAAATGCAGGAAATGGGGGGAGGGGAAAGAGGAACGGGAAAAACTGTACGACTGAGGGGGAAATAAAACACATCAAAGAGGGGGGTCACAGGATGGAGAGGTGCGAAAGGGGGGAAGTCCTGGGGGAGGACAGCCACCCCACCACCCTCTTGCAAACCTCTTGCAGCCCCCTGCCCTGGATTTACCCCTCTACACACATACACACACACACACTCTCCCCTCAAATGCCCCACCTCACGACGTGGCATGACAGCTGGGAAAGGACCCACGGGTCCGCGAACCAGCGCTCTAATATGTGCGACACCAGCTCCAAGTAGTCAGTGGAGCTGTAGCAGGCGTTACTGTCGGGCAGTGCGCCAGGGCTGCATGTACGGAGCGGTGTGCGACAGTTTGGGGGGTTTGGGTAGGTGGGGGGAGGGGGGAAGAGAGAGTGAGTGTGTGTATCTCTGTTTAAGTGTATGTGTATGTGTATGTGTATGTGTATGTGTATGTGTATGTGTATGTGTATGTGTATGTGTATGTGTATGTGTATGTGTATGTGTATGTGTATGTGTGTGTATGTGTATGTGTATGTGTATGTCTATGTGTATGTTCACTATTTACGGGATTGGACTCCCGACGGCGTTGAGTAGTGAATGAGGTGGAGGTCACGTCACGGGGGGGTGGGGTGGGGGATAGACAGACAGACAGACAGACAGATAGACAGATCAATAATGGCCACGCAGCACAGGGGGCCGCCCACGAGCCCTTGCCTCTGCGGGTGTTTGCGTGTTGTGCGTGTGAAGTAAAACCCTAAAACCCTAAAACACAACTCTCAATACCAAAGCACTGGAACAGAACGATAAGTGGTTGGATTAGTTGACAGTTTTAGTGCCGTACTTTATATAAGACGGTTAGGGGGGATTGCGGTGGCAAGGACGCGGTGGTAAAACCCATCAGAGCGCGGTCCCTCCCCAGACTTTTCACCACATCACGGCACACATGACGCGCCGTACCTGTACGACATCATGTAGTGCAGCGCGTGTCCCAGCTCATGCACCAGCGTGCGGATGAGTCCGGGGTGCTCCGGAACCAGATAGCCGCCTGCCCCTGCCCCTGACCCGTGGGTCACCTGACCCGCGGGCAGGTGCAGTGCAACATGCGGAACACATGCCCCCGAACCGAGGAGATGGGTGACACCCCTCTCCCCCCGACCCCGGCATAGGGTGGCTGGCGGCTGAGTGTTACACGTGCTGGATGTTGTTGCACCCGCGGCTCCTGCGGCACCCGCCCTCCCCTCCCCCTCCCCCTCCTGCTGTCGTGACCCCTGCTGAAACTGGCTCTGCTGCTCCGGGTGCTGCAGCCAGGGCGCCGTACCGCTGCCCCCATCGTACCCCACGAACCCGTGCCTGCCAGGGTGGCGCGTGGGGGGTATTGAGGGTTTGGGGCCTTGAGCCCTTCCATTCCCTCGGGGTAAGGAAAGGACCCCCATGCGGTGCGAGAGTAGCAGTGCACCAGCTGCAGATGCCCCCACTGCGGCCCCGGCATGGCACGACAAGGGGATGAGGGGTCACAATGCCTACCGGCCCTACCTCATACACACCCCTCCCCCCTTTTTTCCTCCCCCCCCCCCACCTCACCCCCCCCACACACACACACACAACACCTCCCCGCACCCCCCGTCACGCCACGTCATCAAGGGGGAGGTCCTTCACCCGGGAGCCTCACCTGATAAGGACAGTGTACGGCAGATCGCAATCCGGATCCAAATACACGTACAACACCCCCAGGAGTTCCCCCGGCACCGGCCCGTCGGTCCTTCCGCTGCCGGTCATGTTGCTGCTACTGCCACTGCCACTGCTACTGCCACTGCTGCTGCCAGACGCTTCCCGCAGCTCCAATCGAACGATGCTGTCCGGATGCCGCCAGAACTCCCCGGGTTGGCACTCCCCCCGGTTGGGGGGGACGGGGGGGGAAACACGTAACCCCAACCCGAACACGTGGGACAGCTGACGGCTCAGACCTGAATCCGGAGGGAGCTACGCGTGTGTGTGAGTGTGTGTATGTGTGTATGTATGTATGTGTGTATATATACGTGTACATGTGTATGTGTGCCTATGTGTGTAAGTGTATGGGCACACGGGGAGCGGGGAGTTAAAGGAGAGAAAGAGGCGAGGGGGAAATTGGGGCGCGCGGAGTTGGGGAAGCAACAACACTTTCTCCTCCCCTGTCGTAAAGAGCAACGTGTAATACACAGGGGAACTCACCCTGCAACAGCCCCTCGATGCTGAAGTACGGCGCCAGCTCCCGCCATTCCCGGGCGCTCAAAGGGGGGTTTCGCCGTACGGCCCTACACACATATACATACATACATACATACATAGATACATAGATACGTACACGCGCTCGTTCGAGTCCCGCACTTACACGAGGAAGTCAACACTGCCCCGCAAATGGAGGGGGTCACTGTCGTACACGTCTCCCTCCCCATCGCCACCTTGCTCCACTCCAGAACAGCCGCCACTACCACCACCACCACCACCCGCAGCCACCAGCTCCTCCTCCGCTTCCCCCCCCTCCACCTCCACCAACATCTGCATTTGTAGCCGCTGCAAGGCAGCCACCTCCTCCTCAGCCAGGGGCCGTACGGCGGACAGGATGTCGTACAGCAGCATCAGAGCGACCCGCGGGTCACCTATGCGGGGAAAGCGAGGGCAGGCGCCAGCGTGGGTGAACATTGAAGACCGTTCCAGCCGAGAGCAATAGAGACGACCATCATCTGGGGTCTTCAATACTGAGGAGACCCCTTCCCCCTCTCCCCCTTCCCCCTCTCCCCCTTCCCCCTCTCCCCTCCCCCTTGTGCCGCCTGGCCAGGTGATCCCTCGCTTAGTCGTTTGTTTCGCGCTTCGCCGCCGAGCTAGCTGGGTCGGGTTGGTTGGGTTGGTTGGGTTGGTTGGGTTGGTTGGGTTGGTTGGGTTGGTTGGGCCAGGGGCGAGTTAGCTGGCGGCGGGGGGCCCCGCCGGCTGATACGCATGTATCAGCTAGCCGCGCAGCAGCAGCAGCAGCAGCAGCAGCAGCAGCAGCAGCAGCAGCAGCAGCAGCAGCAGCAGCAGCAGCAGCAGCAGCAGCAGCAGCAGCAGCAGCAGCAGCAGCAGCAGCAGCAGCAGCAGCAGCAGCAGCAGCAGCAGCAGCAGCAGCAGCAGCAGCAGCAGCAGCAGCAGCAGCAGCAGCAGCAGCAGCAGCAGCAGCAGCAGCAGCAGCAGCAGCAGCAGCAGCAGCAGCAGCAGCAGCAGCAGCAGCAGCAGCAGCAGCAGCAGCAGCAGCAGCAGCAGCAGCAGCAGCAGCAGCAGCAGCAGCAGCAGCAGCAGCAGCAGCAGCAGCAGCAGCAGCAGCAGCAGCAGCAGCAGCAGCAGCAGCAGCAGCAGCAGCAGCAGCAGCAGCAGCAGCAGCAGCAAATAACCCGGATCAGCAAACCTCTACTTTACTTACTTTCACCGCCACGTCGGCCATGTAGACTGTCCGATTGCATCATATTACACTTTCCGATACCCTCCCTCCTTTGCCGCCTCTAGGTTTACACACCACCTCTGCGGCTTCCGTTTTCCTTTTTTCTATCTATCTGCCTTATACAAGTCTTTCCTTCCAACTAGGCGGCTTGGTAGTTCTTCTGCTGCGTTTTTCGCCTTCTGCTGCTTTCTTTGGACTTTGGATTTGCCAGCTAGTCCGTCATTCGTCGTGCAACCCGGCTACGGCCACGTCGCCGCCAAGATTACGCAGATGACATGGAGGCAGTGGTCATCTGTAAATTTCCCTTAGCAGCATTTATTCTCCTTCTCCTGGACTACCCGTCTATCTATCTTTGGTCTATCTGCTCCATTTGCCAGTGGTTGGTTCGTCTTACCCCCCTCTCCCCCCACCCCCACCTGCCACGGAGTCCCCCGCCATTTTCAAATGGGCGTACGACGGCTGTTGCAGGCAATCCGCCAGGCGGTCCCGTAACGGCCGCATCAGGTCCAGGAAGCGCAACGCGGCGGAGGCCTGTGACCCGTGGGTCACTGCGTGCACAGCTCGCCGCACCTGGCTGCTGGGGTGCTCGGCCAGCAGCAGCCCCGTCAGCGCCCCCGTCAGCCTGAGGGCCCACAACCGCCCGCCTGGGTTAGGGGCGGGTGGGGGTAGTGTGGGGGTTTTAGGGGGGCACATGGAGCAGGTTACGGACGGAGGACAGAGAGACCCCCCCCCCCACATCCCCCCCCCCTCCCCCGAGGGGCCCCCCGTGCGGGCGGCCACCCCTTGGGGCATACCCTAGTCCGACTCTGTGAAATAACGTAAGAGGTCAAGGTGGCCGGGTGGTGGTGTGGTGTGGTGGAGAAGATGGAGGACATCCCACCACAGGGATCAGTGACTATGCCATAGCGCCTACGCAGCAAGAGCTGGTAACAGCAAAGGGCGAGGGGGGGGGATGGGCGGGGTTGGCCCGGGGGGCGAGGCATCTGCGAAGGTGGTTGTGGAGGCTGCCCCAACTGGTGGTGGCCTGCGACGGCGCTATTGCGAAATGATCGTCTAAGCCCGGGGTCTACCCCCCTCTGTGAGTGACCAGTATCATGGCACACACACTTTGTCGTACTTTGCCGTACCTCGTCGACGTGCACGCCGTGTCATGGCCGCCACCGGGCCCAGTTCTATCTTCGCCACTTGCTCTCCATACCCCGCAGTCGCAGCGGATGTCTCCGTGCTGCCCTCCCCGCCGCCGCTGCCGCCGCCGTTGCTGATGCTGCCGCCGCCGTCACCGCCGCCGCCGCCGCCGCCATCGTACCCATCAGGTGGAAGTACCAGCGGCAACGTTACGCTCTCGCCAGCCCGCGCCGCCGCCACCTCCGCTTCCGTCGCCGGCGTCACGTGGCGCGCCAACAGCGGGTCGCCGCGCACCTCGCTGTCGTGCAAGACCACCAGTGGAACGGGCGTGACCCGTGGGTCAGATAGCGCTGCCCGGAACGCCGCTATCAGCCGCGTCTCCAGTCGCTCCAGTGCGGCTCGCTCCTGTCGGTCCTGCTCCGACAACGCCGCCGCGCGCGACACTGCCTCCGAAACCAACCTCAGCTGACCGCCGCCGCCTCCGCCGCCACCTGCCGCCGTCGCCGCTACCGCTTCCATGCTGCCTCCAACGCGCCCCTCCAGCTGATCCCTTCGGGCTCCAGCGGCATCGCCACCGGTGGCGACAACCTCCTCCGGACCACCACCACTGCCGCGTGTGCTGATCGACCTTTCCCCTCCGCCGCCCCTCTCCGCGTCTATGACCCGACGACAATGCGGCGGTGGGGCAATGGCTGATTCGGCTGCTTCCACTGCGGCCTGCTGGTGGTGCTGGTGGTGGCCCCCCGGGCCGCTGCTGTGGGCCGCTAACCTCATTGCGAGGAGCTCCTCCACCGCCTGCTCAGGGGGTGGGGAGCCGAGCCGGAACAGAACCGGACCGGTGACCGCGATATCCACGTGGTAGTGGTGGCGGTGGTGGTGGTGGGGTCGCAGCCTCACAACGAAATGGGGCCGCCGCGTTGGACGAGTCAGCAGTCCCCCCCCTCCCCCCCTCCCCCTCTCCCTCACACACACACACACACACACCCGGGGTGGGACTACTACTTCACCCCTCGCCCCTCGCCCCCGGGCCCCCACCCGCCCTCCGTAGCCACCTTCCGAAAGCTCTTAGTCTCAAATGGACCTACCGAATACTCTTCACTTCTCTTACAACGAGGTCCTGCTAACCACCCCTAACCTGTTAAAACCCTAAAACCCTAACCCCCCGCTAACCACCCCTGCTTTTTTAACGACCCCGCTAACGGTGAACCTCTGTGCCCAGTGCAATCGCCACCTGCATCGCCCGCAGCGCTCTCCCCGCCGCCTCCCGCCACTGCCCCTCCGCGTGGTGCTCTGCGCAGTGCTCCGCCGCAGGGCGCAGCCAGCTGACCGCCTCGTGGTGACGGCGGACCAACCGGGCAACCTCCGCTGCTGCAGTCCTAGCAGCAGCCACGTCGTCCACCGCCGCTGTCTGGGCCGTCGCCGCCGCGGCGGCGGCGGCAGCGGCCGACGGCGATGATGATGGCGACGACGATAATAGTGATGATGCATACGGGAGTGCGCCGCAGCCGTCTGCCTGTGCCTGTGCCTCTGCAACGCGACGCGACGCGTGTCAGGACGGCAAAAGGCGATGGTGGCAGGTGGCCCTGACACGCACCCGCTCATTGACTGGTCCTGAGAGCCCTCGCCCCTCATCCATCTTCCCTCTTCCCGTTTTTCTCTTTCCACGCCCCCCCCTCTTCCTGACTTTCAACCCCGCATGATTCTACCCGCAGAACCTACAACAGCCTGCACCTTTTGCATATCTACGGCATTGACGTACTTATATACATATAAACGTACATACATACATACATACATACATGCATACATACAGAAAGACCGGGTGACCAATCTCCCGTCACGCGAAACACACACATGTCTGCTGCGGGCTGCCGTACGTACGATTAAGGTACTAACACCGACGGGGGTGAGGGTAGTGGGGGAGGAAGGATTTATTTGCAGACGTGCAGGGTTTCGCCGTGTTGTTTCGCCGCGCATTTTATGTCTGTCCGTCCGATTTTCCACACAGACCCCTGGTACCTGATTACCTGCCAGCAGGTCCATGCACAGCTGCAGCTCCTGACAGTGCGCCACGATGCGGGCAGCGAGGGAAATGAGATCATCGGGGGAATGCAGTCCAGGGAGGCCGTAAAGCCCAGGCGCCAATCGGCCTGTCTCTGCGTCTGGCGATGTCGTCCCAGACGCCGCAGCTGCGCTGCCTGCTGCCGCTAGGAACGCGGTCCGACGAATGTAAGGGAGTTGACATCTTATGTGCACATGCGCATAGTGCGCATTGTTTGGCTGTGTGCGAGGACAAAACAGCCGGTTGCGACTCAAGGGGTATGCGAGCTTCCATGTTCTTGTCCTCAAGGTTTGCATCGCGTAATAAATTGGATGTCTGGGCCACCACTCATTGACCAAGTATGGACCTGCAAGCAACATGTAGTTCACAGACTAACGTGACGTACACGCGAAGTCGAATAGTCGGTGAGGAAACAACAACGAAGAATGGTTGCACGTAGTTCCGGCTGAAAAAGCTCAGATTTTAAATGTCCCGAGGTTGTCAAAAGTGGCTTATGGTAGACGCAGCGACAGCCCGGCGGCACATCGTCAACTTTGAAACCTCTATCCGATGGTCCGTTTGAAAAATAGGTACAGAAACACTTTGGATTGCATCACTTGGCTGGCATAACAAAGGAACGGTGAAGGTTTTCAGAAAGGCCGGGCGGTTTGAGCGTCTTGCCTCGCTGCGCGCAGATACCTTTTGGTGGAGGTGACATGGAAGGACGGCAAGGTCGATGAGACATGCAGTAAGCATTTCTACCTACCCATCTTCAAGGTCCCTGGATTATGTACAGCGCACACCACATAACCCGGCTTTTGCTTTCCACATTGTCGACAGCTGAACTGGTGCTCTTACAAGCGATGCGCGAAAGCGTGGCTCAAAACTTCGGTGACTACGGGATGGGGACCAATATTGCCAGTCTGCAAGGTGCGGTGGTATTTCAGATGGCCGGCCGACAGCCAACCGACCACAGTCTGACTTTACCTCCCCCATCCGCCTCTCCCCCACGCCCGGTCACCACGCTCTCTACACCGGGCACTCCAGGCGAGGCAACTAACTCCGGGAAAATGTATTTCTTGCATTGGCACAAACACATACATACATACATACATACATACATACATACATACATACATACATACATACATACATACATACATTTGGAGTGGCTGCGTAGAGTATTGGCAGTCTGAGTCGGGGTCGGGAGCACACAAGACTAACCGACTTGTGCTGTGTGCTCCCGACCCTTGCGCTGTGTTTCGGCTTCGGCCCCCGGCTCTCGCGGCCCACAGTGTAATCTAAGTCATACATACATACATACATACATACATACATACATACATACATACATACATACATACATACATACATACATACATACATACATACATACATACATACATACATACATACACACATACACATGTGTCAGGGAGCGGTGGGGTACTTTTCCGTCGCTCCGTGTCCCACGGGTTTACGTCTACGTGGGTTCTCCTCCGGCTGACCCACATGGTTCAACTGGACCGCCGTACTTGTCGTACCACATGGACACCCCACATTCCTCGGTGCTCATTCCTGCTTCTACTGCCCGGTCATGCATGCATGGTGGTGGTGGTGGCGGTGGTGGTGGTGGTGGTGCTATTGCTTGTGGCAGTCAAGTACTGGAGCCCCTACACGGGACTGAGCATCGTGCGTTGCGCCACAGCCGAACGCGAACGGGTGAGTGTAAGGAAGTATGTGTGTAACCATCTCCCCACCCCTCCCCCCACACCCAACCCCTCCACACCCTAACCCTAACACCACACATAGGTGATTACGTCACTGGCCCTCATGACCCAGATCAAGCAACGTCCGGCATCGGTGAGGGTGCTGCGGCTGGCAGGTGGAGTGAGGGGGGGGGGGAGGGTAGAGGGAGGGGGGTGATGCAGAAGTGGGGGGGGGAATGTTCTCCCAAGGGACTGTGTTTTGGGGGAGTTGGCGCCTGTGGCGGCATTCATTCGGGGTCGGTGGGATCGTAATCCCGGCGTGAGTGGGTGAGTGAGTGAAGGGGGAGGGGGAGGGGGCACACCACGTAGCTAACCGTGTTTATGTTTGAGCATTTATGTATGCCTTTGAGGTGAACTCCCCCCTCCATACACACACACACACACACACACACACACGGTCCCTATCTCCCCGCCCTCGCCAGGAGTTGACGCGTTAGACATTGTTCGGCAGTTGAGCTTTGCTTCACTCGCCGTCCCACATGGTTTCCCCCTTCCCCGCCCTCTCCACTCTCCCCCCTTGCTTTACATCCCCCCGCCAACACATACATACGTACATACATACATACATAGGCACCCTGGCGACATGCAGAGATGCCGCCTTACAGCTCAGTGAGTACAAATTGAGGCAGCTGGGGAGGATCTCCACACCGCCACTACCGCCATCCGGGCAGCAGCAGCAGTCCGCGCCGGCTAAGAAACGGCAGCAGCAGCAGCAGCTGCTCACAAAGCAGGTCTCTGGGGTGACACTGGGCCGGGTGGGGGGTGGGGGCAGCAGCAGGAGGCCAGAGAGGGAAGCACACTGGGGGGGTTAGACCCCCTAGCAACCCCCGGGAGAAGAGGAAACGTCCAGGATGTGTGTATGTGTATGTATGTGTGTCTTGTTCCCCGGGTGTTGGAGGTTGGGGGACATAACAGCTGGTTGGGCTCCCCAACGGTTAGGTGGTTACGTAGGTAGGAAGGTAAGTAGGTAGGTGGGGGTTTGGCAGACCGGCTCATACCGCTGGGGTGTGTGTGTGTGTGTGTGTGTGTGAGAGAGAGAGAGTGTGTGTGTATATGTGTTGCTTTTCATTCCTAGCTCTTCCGTCGCCTTTACGTCGGCCCCATTCCCCCTCGCTCCCCCCCCTCTCCCCCCCACACACACATCCTTACTCCAAACCCCCACCTACCCGCAGCAGCTGGCAGTCGCAGAAGATCTCCACTTGCAGATAAGTGCCGTAGAGCTGTAGCTGAAACAGGTAAGAAGAAACGTACGTACGGTAGTGCTGTGTACGGCGCCCAATACTGTTGTTCCACCCCTCTCTCGCTGCTGCTCCTGCTGTCATTGCGGGTACTGCGGTACTGGCGGTTGTGGCAAACCCAACGCCGGGGCACCCCCCTGGCTCCCCCAGAGAGAGAGAGAGCATTCTCATCAGGCGATGTGGGCGGCTGCCGTCGGCGGCATTAGCCCGGGTGATCTTATCCCAGTTCTAGTCACTAACACATCACCTCTCCCCACCCACCCACCCACTCACAGTTCACTTATGTATACACACACACGCACACCCCACCACCACGACCACCACCACCAGCGGGTCTTCACTGCCTCCTCCCACCCCTCTCAAACCCCATTACCCCGCGATTCTTTCCGTGGCGTCAGCTTCACTCGCTCGTGGTGCGTGTCTCCCCCCCTAATCCCGCTATCTCCACCCCCTCCCCCCTTTGGGGCCCCACTTGAACAAGGAACTAAAAAGCGCCCTTGGAAAAGGAACAAGACACAGATACACAGACATACAGACACACAGACACACAGACATACAGACATACAGACATACAGACACACAGACATACAGACATGCAGACATACAGACGTGGGCGGGAGGGCTGACGGGGTCACCTGCGGACTTTGCTGGCTTCCCGCATCCCGGGGGGTGCTGAGGGCCCTAAAACCCTAGAGCCCTTCTGCTGCGGTCGCGCGTGGGGGGTGGGGGGTGGGGGGAGGGGGGAGCGCAAGCAGACCCGGGCATGAGAGAGGCCCACAGAGGAGGGCCCGTGTAGTGGTGGTGGTGGCGGCGGTGGGGGGGGGGGGAAAGGGGGGAAAGACGAACCACGAGCGAGTGAAGCTGATGCAACGGACACGGACTGTTGCGCCAGAGGGAAAGAAGGCATAACTAACCAGTCGGCGGTTGCGAAGCAGTCCTCGCCAAAAGGGGAAAGGGCGGAAGGTGAAGGGGACTTATCTATTTGCTTACCGGGTCCGGGCGGTGAAGAGGGGGGAATACGCTGTGGTAGTGAGAGGCACAGGGGGGCGCTGAGGACCGGGTGAATGGGGGTGGGGGGGAGGGGAGGAGGGGCGAGGCCCGCCCACATTATCCAGGGCCGCAAAAGGTCCCCCGGGACGGTGTGTGTGTATGTATGTGTGTATGTATGTATATATGTATGTATATATGTATGTACATGTACGTATGGGGGGTGGCGAAGTAGGTGGGTAGGCGGGAGGATGCCATGTTGTAAATTCACGCGGCCTTGCCCAAGGGTATATGTGGCTGGGCGGGAGTGGTCCTGTAAGGGAGTGGTCCTGCTTCAGGGCGCGTCAGAGCAGGGCCTGGTACATATATATGTTTGCAATTAGAGTGGGATATGGTTGGTTCCTGGCGCGGCGCTCAGTTGCAAGCTTGGATGTGCTCTTGTGGGGGAAAGACCCACGGGCCAACAGGGATGTACTGAGTCAACCGGCCAACGGCTTTTGCAGTAGGTTCCTTCGCTTGTAAAATGCGGAATTATCTCCGATGCTTGACTTTTGCATGGTTGTACTAGGGCCACCGATGGTGCGCGGGCTGAAGGCGTCAGAAACGCGCGAAAGTTGTACGAGGAAAAGAGCTTTAGCGCCACGGAGCGGAGCGGGTGCTTTATGTGTCCTGCCATTTGTAAGGATTTGTAAGGATAAGAAAGATGCTGATTACTTTTGCGATTGATTGTTGTGGGCCGGTCCATTGGCGATGCCAGTCTGTGACATGCAACGAACCTGTCGCTTGTACGGCATCTGCGCGGCTCTATGTTGCGCCACAACAAGAAAACATGTTTCCTGGGGTTAACACGTTTAACGATTAACATGTAAAAACTCGTTTCTTAACCTGCTTGTCACCCACATTTTGGCGGTTCTTGTTTAGTGCCGTGTCTCCACGCAAGCTTACGAGTAATTCCAGAGCCGTGGCAAGGGCGCGGATAAACCTGCCTGTTGAAATCAATTTTACCCCACGAACACGTTTCTGCAAGATACTGTCGCCGGGCGAGTCCTTCGTAAGGGTGGACTGCGCTTGGAAGGGAACGATGCGCAAATAGGCGGCGCGACCCCATTCCTAGGCAACCATGATGGATTTTATATCGATACAAGCTCCAGCGTCTCGGCGCGCTTTCGCTATCCGGCCTCTACTGCGACGCACCTTTGGTCATCTGCCAGGTCCGCGAAATACGGTTGCGCTCGCAGCGCTCAGCCACACACCTGCTAAAGTTTCTGGCTTGACACAGGCTTTGCAGGAGATGGACCCAGCTCAGAGGAGCAGGCCTGTACAGGGCTTGGCCGGTAAGTAATTTGTCCTTGACACAGTGCACGAATTTCCCCAGAATCTCCTTTGCAAGGCACGGTATCTATGAAATGTGGTGCCAAGTTTCTGCGACTAGCGCTTTTAGCGCTGCAGGCACTTCCCACTCGTGAGGTGGCAATCGCGGCAAGACTTGCATGCGCGTGTCATGCATGACCAACAAAAAGGAGATATAAGCATCAGCGGGAACCTGACAAACAGTATCCTATCCGGCTGCTATAGAACCGCCATAAACATGCCAAATCGCCATGCCTGATGATTGCATCTCCGTCGCGTTGTGTCATACAGGCCGGGAGATGATTACATATCCTATCCAATGAAGAAAAGCAGGAGCCATAACTCTATGGTCCAGACCACTGAAACCGCGCTGGAGGCTGAGGACGAATGCGGTTACGTGGTCACCTCCGCCCCGGACAACACCTACTGCGTTATTGACCCAGATAGCGAAGACGACGCAAATTCAGCTTGCGGCTGCGATAAAGGTGGCTCACACGAGGACAGCTGCTGCTGCCCTTACAACCCAGCCCCGATGCAATGTCACCTCTCCGCCACCAGCAGCACTGCATTGTCCTCGGCACCGAGCGGCGTGTCCTCTCCGTCACCGCCTGCGCTCCTAGCCCCCGGCCTTACGCGATGTGGCGACTCGGCTGATTGCCACCAGCGGCTATCTGCACAGCTTGGGTTTCCGCCAGCCTTTGTGAACGGAGCCGGAGCTACATCATCACCACCACCAGCGCATCACGCGCAGCAGCAGCAGCAGCAGCAGCATCAACACCAGAGCCATATAGCGTCGGCGGCAACAACAGCAGTATCAGCTTTACCTGCCGGCCCCGCGGAAGCGGCGGCAGATGGAGGAAACACTGCCGAGAGTGAGGGTGCCGATGGGGGCGGCCTTACGGGCGTGTTTGGCTCGGTATCTCCAGACCAGTGGGCGGCTTTTAAGGTCGCCGTCAGCGGCGGACACGACGCCGTACAAGCCTGTGCCGAATGCAGTACAGGCTCCGCCGGCGTCGTCGTTGGCGTGGAACCAAGCTCTACCGCGCACCGCCACCAGTATCCTCATCGTAATCGTCGCCATTATCAGCTCCATCAGCTGTATATGCCCCGACGGGAAGAGGGTCAGGCGAGGAGCTGCACCACTGCTGCCGCTGCCGCCGCTGCCGTGGCGGTGCTTCCACCAAAGACAGCTGCTAGCGCCGGGCTTGACGGCGTTGTAACGCCGGCGGCGGTGGCGGCGGCAGCGGCTCCGGACTTATTGACGGCGGACATCACCCTGATGGCTAAGACCGCCGCGGGGGGTTCCGGAGCCGACTGCAGCGGCGGCGACGGCGGCGGTGATGCTGTTGGTAGTGTGGAGGTCGTCGCAGATCAGGGCACCTCCCCCGGCGGCTCCGCGAGCTCCATCGCGTCCTTATGGGCTGCCGTGACCAGCATGGCCGGCACCGCAGTGTACGACAGTACGGACGATAATGCGCAGGCGGGTCAGATGCTGAGCCGCTACCGCGGCTGGTCTAATGCCGCCGCCGCTGTGGCTGTTGCTGCCGCTCCGGCGGCGCCCGTGGTGGCGCCGGAGTCCGCGCTTCGCGCCGGCGCCGCCGGCGGTGGCGGCGGCGGTGGCGGCGCCAGCGCCGTTCACCGCCTCCGCCACCACAGCGCGCCGGCCCCGCAGGTCCCTCTGTCGTACACACATCAGCACCAGTACTCTCACTCCATCCTTGCTCAACCCCCTAATGAAAACAACTTACCAGCAAATGCCCGCACTGTACGGGACAATCAATTAGGTGTGGACTTGGCCGTACACCGCACTCACCAGGTCGATGTAACGCATCCCGCCCTGGCCGTTTTGCCGGAGGATGGCGGCGGCGGTGGCGGCGGCGGCGGCAGCGCTGCCTTCAGCCAACCGGGAAGCCCGGCAGCAGCGGCGGCGGCAGCGCGTACGGCATCGTGTTCCGCAGACCTTGGCAGTAGCAGCTCCCTCCTGGCGGCTCGCAGTATGCTACTGCGGGAGTGCTACGACCCGGAGTCGCAGCCTCCGCTCGGTGGCTGTAGCAGCAGCGCGAGTATGACCGTCGACGGGTACTACAGCCATTGCGACGGCCTTGACCACGGGTATGGCGGCGGCGGTGGCGGCGGGGGCTACATTCGGGCTGTAGCGGCGGCGCGGTCAAATGCGCATTCCAGGTTCTCTGTGGATTTACATCATATCCCCCGCCAGCCGTACGGTCAGCAGCAGCAGCAGCAGTCACAACAACAGCAGCAGTTACAGCAGCAGTTACAGCAGCAACAGCAGCAGATGCAGCAGCGCGCGGCAGCAGCGGCAGTAGCAGCACAGCGCCAATCCCTCAACGCCACATCTCCCTCCCGCCGCCGCGGCGGCGGAGCTTTACCACACCAAGCTGCGTCGTACACGACGTACGGTTACCGTCGTGCATGTTCCTCGCTTGCTGCCCTAGAACAGTCGAACGCCGCCGCCGCCGCCGGCGTCGGCGTCGGCGTCGTTGGGTTGAGCAGTAGCAGCGACGACGACGACGAATCGGAGCTGGAAGGTCATCGCCTGCTCACGGCGTTCCGTACCCACACTGGATCGATGACGGCACGTAATACGGGTTGGGGACTGCTAGGAACCGATCCGGGACCCATCACTTTCGGGATGGAGCCGGCGCGCCGCGACCCGTGGGCAGTGGCGACGGCGGCGGCCAGTGCTGCAGCGGCGCACGGCGGCGGCGGCGGTGTATCAGCGGTTGGCCATGGCAGCTTTCATAACGCCGGCGGTGGTACGGCGAGTGGTATGGCGAGTGGCGAGGGTGGCGGAGGCAGCGGCGAGATGGCCGGCAGGCGCGGGGTACGCGTGTGTGTGTGTATGTATGTGTGTGTGTGGGAGGGGGGGGACTGCATGCGGCGTAGTGGATTTCGCTGACCTGCCGTTGTGACTGATATTTGCGGGGGAGGGGGGAAGCAGGGGGGTTGTGCGGGGGGGATGTGTGTGTGTGTGTGTATCTGTGTCGGCTGTGCATGTTCCCGCGCCTCCTCTGTTGCTCCCCACTGATGGATGACGTCATAATACACCGCCGCGATACCTGTGTATGTGACGCCTCCCCCTCTCTCCCTCCCCTTCTCTCCCCCTCCCCCTCTCTTCCCCCCCCTCTGTCTTTTTACGGGAAGCCGTCCCCGTGTGCTGTCATCTTGCCACGACTCGTGTAACGCCTCTTGTAACGCCCGACATGACGTCGTCAAAACAAGACCTGTAAAACACGCCATCGCGTAAATTCTGTTTTGCAGGAGGGCTGCGGCGGCGGAGGCGGCGGCGGAGGAGGAGACGGTAGCGGTGTTGACGGCAGCAGCAGTTCAGCTACTCCTACTGCTACAGCTACAGCTACAGCTGCGTCTGAGGATGCCGTCGGTGAGGGATGTCATCAGGTGCTGCCGGCGGGGCGCTGCCGTAGCAGCTACCACCTGACCAACTCGCATGCGGCGGTGGAGCTGTTCCTCCGCCTCAACCACGCGCGACAGACTATGGACTTTGTCAAGAGACAGGTGAGGCCCGTCGTGTGTGTGTGTGTGCGTGTATGGGGTTTGGGGGGAATGGGGGGCGGGGGGTTTGGGGGAATTTTGGAGGGGGGGGCGGCAGGAACATGTTGGGACTGTACGACAGTGTTTTTGGTGTGTGAATCTTGGGAAGTCGACAAGAGGGCACGTACTACGTCGTACAAGATTCGTACGTATTGCTATTAGCCAGGGTTACGGGGACAGGGTCGCCGTACTTGTTCCCCCCCTCTCCGCTTCCCTCTTCGCCCTCTTCGAGTTGAAAACCCAACCCAAGCTCCCGCCTCCACCTCCGCCTCCACCTCCGCCTTCATTGACCCGCTGCACTAAGCTGATCCTTTTGACGTCATGTGGTGTACGGCACCTGCAGACCCAGCTATTTGCCAGCCTGGATAAGGCGCACATGACAGTGTGGGAGGCCCTCCAAACACTGAACGAGCTGCGGGAGTATGAGGCCGTACTAATGGCGGAAGGCGGGGAGGCGCAGGTATGTGTGTATGGATGTGTATGTATGTATGTATGTATGTATGTATGAAAACACGCACATACCTACGGAGTCACACGTCATTCATTTGCCTTTCCAGGAGATCTCTGAGCTGTCTCTGTTGGATCACGCCTTTCAAACTGCCGAGCTGTGCCGGCTGCACCACCCCGACCTGGACTGGCTGCATCTGGTGGGCCTTGTGCACGGCCTGGGGAAGCTGCTGGCGCACAGGAGGTGGGGAAGGGGGAGGGGGGAGGGGGAGAGGAGGGGGAGGGAGAGGGAGAGGAGGGGGAAGGGAGAGAGGAGGGGGAGAGGAGGGGGGAGGGGCGAAGGAGGAGGGGGGGAAGGGGGGGAGGGGGAAGGGGGAGAGGGAGGGGGAGTACTTCATACAGATGTGGGTTAGGGGGTGCTGGAGGTGGGTTCCGCTCCGCTCCCAGTCTAGTCGCCTTGGGGAGGTGGGGCCTGGCTTGTGCGTGTGTTTGCCTGTCTGCCTTTCCCGCCTTACATCTTCCCCCTTGCTCCCTACCTCCCCCCCCCTTCCACGCCCTCCGCTCTACCGTACCATTCTGTACTGCTGCCCTCTGGCTTCTCTTCGTCTGCTTCTTCTTCCTCTTCTCCTTATTTTGCGTGATCGTCTCCTTTTCCGTCACTTTACCCCTCGATCCCTCCCCCCTCCCTTACCCGCACAACAACACACACATACACACGCACACAAACACGCACACACACGTTCACGTGCAGGTTCGGTGCTCAGCCCCAGTGGGCGGTATGTGGCGAGACCTACCCGCTAGGCTGCCGCTTCTCCCCGCACATCTTGGGCAGCCAGTACTTCACCGCCAACCCCGACCGGCGGCGGCGGCTGTACAACAGTCCCACGGGTCTGTACGCGCCGGGGTGCGGTCTGTTCAATATGGTCATGTCCTGGTCAGCACCCGAGTACCTGTACCTGGTGCTGATGTTGAACACCACGCACATGCCACAGGTACGACATTTACATGTATGTACGGCATTACGCCTATGTCGTACGGTTGTTGTACGTTTTCGCATTATTTGTGTAGTGCGTGTAGGGGGACGAGAGCTCCAGCTCCTTCTACCAAACCCCCTCCACATACACACATACACATACACGCGCACCCTCCCTTCCCCTCCCCCCCCCCCGCCGGGCCCCCCTCCGCCCCCCGAGCAGGACGCGCTTTGGGTCCTCCGTCACGCCAAGTTCTCGTCCCTCACCCGCCCGCATTCGTGCTACCTGCCGCTGTGCTCCGCGGAGGACCTGCGCCGTCTGCCGCTGCTGCGGTCCTTCCAGTCGCTGGCGGCGTACCGCCGGGTTCCCCTCCCCGCGGGGTTCGCGTTGCAGGGGGAGCAGCGGACCGCCTACTACTCGGGCCTCGTCAGAAAGTACTTGGGGGAGGGGGCTCTGCACTGGTAGCCGGGAGGGCCCGGGGAAGGGGGGGAAGGGGGGGGGAGTGAGAGGGAGGGGGCCGGAGGGGAGAGACGGGGGAGTAAATGAGAGACAGTGCCGGGGTGTTGTGTATGTATGTACGTATGTATGTATGTATGTATGTGGCTGAGGTGGATGATGCTGGGGGTGATGTTGGGGGTTTCAGAACCATTGGCGGTGGCGGTGGTGGTGGTGGTGGTGGTGGTGGTGGTGCCGGGCTGGTTTGGGGATGTGGTCATGTAGTGGAGGAAGCAGTGCTGGTAGTGCACTAGGGGGCGGGAGGTACGGGATGTGGCGCGCTGGGCTTCTCCCCCTTCGCCCCCTTCGCCAACCTCCCTTAGCCCGCGTGTGCCCGCCGCCTATCCGCCTGTCTGTTTGTCTGTCGTGATGTCGTGGCGTCGGAGGCTCTGTGGGGGAGATGTTGTGGTATGTGTGTGTTTTGTGGGGGACCCTCCTTTTTTTCTCCCTCCTTTCCCTTGGATGGGTCGATTTGTTGTCGTACAACACGGCATGAGTCCCGAGTTGGGTTTTAGGTCCAATCTCCCCCGCCCCCTTTTGTGCGGCTCGGGGGAGTGGGGGGCGCGATGGGGGGATTGTTTCCTTTCTTATCGCCTTGGAACGATTTGGAGATTTGATGGACACGAAAAGAGAAATAGAGAGATAGAGAAAGGGAGGGAGAGAGACAGGGGGAAGATATATTACAAGCGAAGTGCACAAAAATCAGAAGAAGAGGGTAAGAATGAGTGAGTGCGCATCAAAGAGCAAGATGTATACCTAAATATATATCTATCGAGAGAGAGAGAGAGAGAGAGAGAGAGAGGCGTATAGAGAGCTAGGGTGCCCAGCTTTCCGCTCGTTTTCAAGGCGCCAGCACGCACGTACGGCAATTACGTACGGCGAGAATATTGGATGAGGAAAGAAAACCATCTAGTTGGGTGGCGAGGCGAAGTCATCCGCGTCTGCAGCCGCCGCCGGTTTACGTTCCTTTAAACCCCCCTAATCTCCTATCTCCCTCTCCCCTGCTCGGAGGGGGGGTAGGTTTGGGACTCTGACCTGAGGCTGGGCTTTAGCCGTACAACAGGGGTATATGCTATATGTATGCCTGTCTGTTATCGTGTATGTCTGTCTGTGTGTCTGATTGTGTGTCTGTGTGTGTATTTCCAGCATCCTGTGTCGCCACATTTGCCGCCACCGCCACCGTCATCATGAGCGTCAATCGCTCCCGACGGGCGCCTCCAGTGGTGGGGAGGCGAGCAGTTCGGCGGGGGAGCGTGCAGCTCTGTGTGTGTATGTGTGTGTGGAGGTGGAGGGAGGGAGCGGAGGGAGTGGAGAGTGTCGATGTCTTTTTTGCCGGAATGTGTGTTTCGTGAGCGCGCGGGCGCCCGCGTGTGTGTGTATGTATGTGTGTGTGTATGTTTGTGTGTCCGCAAGGATGCTCGGTGCGCGCAACCCCTCACCTCCTCTCCCCCCTTCCCCCTCCCCCCTCCTTCACCCCGGGGTCCCCAATATTTGAGGTCCCGGGGAAGAGGCCTCAAACCCCTCCAGCTCGCATGTCTGTCTGTCTGTCTGTCCGTCCGCCTGCCTTTCGGAGGAACCATGCTTTCCCGAAGGAAAGGCTGTAGCTCGGTTTTAGGGTTTTGCCCGATTAATAATGGAACGCTGTTCCGTCAATTTTGCAATGGCTTCTGTCGCGGGAGGCGGCGGCGGTGCGAGGAGGCGGCGGCGGCGGCGGCGGCGGCTCCCGTCTGGACGTCTGGGGGTGAGATGGGGCGTCACATGGGGTGGGGCCCGGTGAACTTGTGTGTGTGTGTGTTTCGTGTGCCGTACGTTCTGATGTCATCTTATAGCAGAGGCTTATCACCAGGTTATCACATTGTTATGTAGGATTGTTGGGCCCGAAGAACACGAGGAGGCGCCGGCGGTACGGCGTCGTCCATCATATTGTACGGCACCCGTCACATCCGACAGAAGAATGGTGGAAGCGATGGCAGTGCGCAGCGGCGGTTTGGGAATTCCCCTACCGAGGGGTAAAACGGGGGGGGGGGAAGGGAAGGCTTTTTGGATGGGTCTGCGAACTGTGGAGTAGTGTGCACATCCTCATCGGATTTAAAGTAGGTGCGCGTGCGTACACACACATCGGATGGATGGATGGATGGATGAGATTTCAATGGATGAATGGAAGGATGGATGCATGCGTATCCATGCATGCATGTATGATGTGTGAAACAGGGGGGTGTATCTTCGCCCGTGGCAGCTACCCTGCGAAACCCTGCCTTCCCCGGTATTTCGGGGCACCCTCATCCAGTCACCCTAGTCAACTTCTCAGTGGATCGCTCAGGTTCCGCACCCACCACCAGCCTCCAACGGAATCTGCCGGGTCGACAGCGGCCCAACTCCATTCCTGGTCGGCTCGCAGGTTAACTTTATCCCAGGTCACCACCGTCCATCAACTAGGGGCGCAATGCCTTCCACCATCGGAAGGACTTTTGACCCTAATGGGTATCGATCCCGGGATCTCCCGGGGGCAATGGTCGCGCCTGTTTGTATGTATGTTTGTATGTATGTATGTGTGTGGGTGTGAAGGTTGCTTGCGGAGGCCAGGTGACCAGCGGTCAAATGTATGTATGTATGTATGTATGTAGTGCGTGCATGTGTGAGCGTATCTGCGTGTGTGTGTATTTGTATATCCACCTGTAAAGGCCAAAGCTATGCGGGGCGGACGCTAGTGGTGGATTGAGGAGGAGGAGGGGGAGAGAGGGCGAGGAAGGAGGGTCCTTTCCCGTTCCCATGAGGAGGGGGAGGGACGTGCTGCCGCGCAGGCCATGTTTTGTGTGTGTCTGTGTGAGAGGGCGTGTATGAGTGGGTTTTGCGTGGACGTGTGTGTATACTTTGAAGTATGCACGTATGCAGGTTTGGATGATGGGTGCACTGGCCTAGATGATATTGTCGGGGAAGGGGGGAGGAGAGCTGCAGACCGTCCGGCAGCGACGCAAGAGTTGCCCGTGTGTGCTCATCGAGGTGTGAGGTTTGTGGAAAGTGGGAGAGAGAGCCGCGCTGTGTGAATTTTTATCTTTTTCGTGGTGTCATGAAATTGTATCATGTACGGCGCATGCAAGTATATGCGCAGTCGTACATATGCGCGTTCGTACATCCTCGGAAGAATGAGGGAAAAGAGATGCAAAAACGCGCGCGAGAGGGTCGTAACTTCGAACACGCGGGCTGTACGGACGGCGATGGCGATGGTGATGATGATGTTAAGGGTGAGAGGATTGGGGTGCTCATAACTGGCGCCGGTACGGACCCTGTTCCCCGGGGGTGCTCCTCCATTCTAAAGTTAAACTGTTGCTGTAACTGCCGCTGCCGCTCGCCCGAATCCTTCCTGTCCTGCCCTGTCTGGTTTGTTGCTGTCAGTGCACGCGGCGCTGTGGAGAAATGTTTCCCGAGGATATCATCGAAATGTACAAGGGGGGGGGCAGGGGGCAGCTGGTGGTGCTGAGGTTGGCCTGGGTGGGTGGTGTGTTTTGCGAATGCGCGGATGGGCTCTGGGGCCCCGTGGGCTCCCTCCCTTCCGTGCCGCTGGCGGGGATATTCACCAGCGCCACTTCCTTCGGAGGGCAGAGGGTGGATAGCGGGTAGCGATGCTGTTGGTTCTGTCCGTGTGTCGTGCGGGGGGGGGGTAGTCCCGAGGGGCAGCTGTGGGACATCCTATCCCTGCTGGACGTGCGTGTATAGGCGCGTACCCAGATGCGGTTGCCTTGAAGAGTGATGCGACTTGCTGCTGCTGCTGCTGCTGTTGCTGCGTCTTGTGATGGATTACGATGATGATGATGAGGAGGAGAGGACGGTGTATGGGGGGAAGGGGAAAGCTGCTGGGGAGAGTTAAAGAGAGGATTTCGCGATTCGGGTTGACGTGGGTGCGGATCGCGGAGGGGGGGAGAGGGGGGGGGCCGGGTGGTGTGTTGTAGGAGAGAGAGCATTCCAAAAGAGTATGTATGTTTGTGATGGTGGTGGTGATGGCGGTGGTCATGCTGTCGAATGATATGTTGTAAATTCAGTTGCACATCGTTTTCATACTTTTTCATTGTTCAGTGCGTCTTGGCAGTTTTTTATAGCGGCTGTAGCATACCCGACATTTTCGTTCCCCCTCAGGACGAGTCCAGGAGGGGGCAAATAGCTTCTGGTACTTTGACTTGACCGCGTGCGAGGGGGATGTGTGTGCGGGTGTTGCAAGGTACTCACACAGAGGGCGCTTCGTTGCGCGTGTAATGTCACACATGTTTTATGTGTGTGGGGCCGTGTGGATGTATGAGGACGTATGCAGCATATCGCGTTAAAAAACAGCGGACTGGCTCAAGAGACGTTTGTGTCGTCGTCATCCGCATGTCTGTCTGTTAGCAAATTTGTGTCGATTCACCTGTGGACCCGCCCCCGAGGAGAAAGCCGTTTTGTCTGCGCCTTGTTGTTTTATTCTGTCGTCAACTATTGTTAAGGGAGCGTCGTTGCGCCCTCAGGAAGGAGAAGCCCTAGCGATGCTGTCAATTACATCTTATCGCTTCCTTTTAGTTAAGTGATTTCAGGCAGATTTTCATTCATTTCAACGAAAACCAAACAAACTAATAACGACAATAAAAAGCTCAGAAACTGCCTCAGGAGCAGCGTTTAGTTGTTGATCGTGTGTACAATTAATCGCGTCTCCTCGATTTACAGCCTCAGCAAAAGCGACCAACGAATGAGCAGCTGGGACAACAACAGAAGGCGCCGTGAACACCATCAACATAACATACGATACTCCGCAAGCGGATACTTCCAAGCGAACAGATACTCCCGAGACATGCGCACATGCCCCCATCTCTTCTGTCCCACCATCACCGACAACATCCCGACGCATCCTCAGATTCGTCGAGTCCTTTTTCAACACCCTGATTAACTCCCTTCACACTAATTTGAAATGCGAAAGCGCGATGTGAAGCAAACAACAGGTGTTTTGAGGATTTTTATCATATGGACAGCAGCAACAGCAGAGAACCCAAAATATGCCAACCTAATGGCCCCGTGGATATGTACGACAATTACGTCATATTAAGCGAAGAACGGCTGTGCTGGAGGTGCGTGGAGTGGTGGAAAACAAACGGCTTAAAAAAACAGAGACCCGCAGACTCGCAAGGCGAGGGGTACCGCCTACCTCCCCACCACTCACACAACCCTGTACTAGCCCCTACACACACACACACGCCGCCCAATGCCCGGGGGGGCCGAGGACCCCTCACCAAGGAACGGGGGAGAAAAAGAATCAGCGCCCGAGCGGATGTCCAGCAGAGCCATTTGAAACCCCTAAAAAAACCCACCAACCCAGACCCAAAACACACCACACCCACCAAACCACACCACCAGGACTGACTATTGCAGACTGCAGGAGACACCTGGAAGGGGCGACTCGGCGGCTGGGGGTAGCTCGACCCCCGTGAGCTAGGGTGAAGTCCAGTAGGATGAGGCGCCGCGGGAGATAAGCTGCAAGCACCTGGTGAATGCCCCCCCGTCCCCGTCCCCGCCCATGCACTGCACAAGGCAGAACCCGGCGGTGGTGGTGGTAGTCGGGACAGCGAGTTTTCACTTCCAAGTGAGACCCAGCCCGCACGTATGTGCGTATGTATGTATGTATATATATGCAAATGTAACCCCTATGTGGAAAAATGCTCAACAGATGTACGAAGGTCTGGAAGATATGGCCCAAACCCCGAAACCAAAAAATCCCTTTTGATGACAAATGGCCAAGAATATAGATAGATAGATAGATGGATAGATAGATATAACCCGTTGGTGGTGCATTACGAGTGTGCGGCACACATACACACGCACACACAATCTCTCTCACACCGGCCCCCCCTTCACGCACAGACGCACACAAACATACCGATTCTGCCGTACATGCACAGATGCGTACAGCATACGTACAGCAGCAGCAGCGGCAGCAACCCCCACCCGGCCCATTCCCGCGCCCCCCAGGCCAACCGGATCCGGCGGCTGCGAACTCTGAATAGAAGTATGTATGTATGTATATATCTAATTCCGAGGCGCACATGCGAAGCCTGTTTTCCCCCCCCCCCTTTTCATGTTCCTGTGCGCTCTCCTCCGCGGTCTCTCCACATCGGCAGTAGGAGATCCCCAGCAGCACCTGCAGCACCTCACTCTCTCCCCCAACGCCCCCAATTGCGATATCATACGACCCTGTCACCCCCCAGCATCCATAGCCCCCAACCCCTAAAAACCCTCGCATACATACGTACATACATACAAACACACAACTTAGTCATTACTCATTTCCGTTTACTCAGTTTTCATGTAATCGCGCTGCATCCCCCCCACCCCACCACACCGCGTAAGTTGGCGATACGTTTTCCCTGATAGCATGCATACGTATACACACATACACACACACGCCCCAACGTAACTTAGCGCTCTCGCCTTCCCCCCATTCTCCCCTCCCTCCCCCCCAACGAAGGGGATGCGGGGTGAGGGTGGTGCTGTCGCGGGATGGAACCTCAACTCTCCTCCCCCTCGATTCGCAACCCCTCTCGAAGCTGCCGAACGATCTGAGCAGCTGCTTTACCTCCACATTAGTATAAATAGGCTGACATACAGACATACAGAGAGACATACAAGCAGACGTACATACGTTTATTAAACCGAAGTGGTAAAGACAGCCCCAACAAACCACTCACTCATGTTCTGGGTGCCCAGTAACACACACAGACACACAGACAGACAGGTAGACAGACAGGTAGACAGACAAGGAAGAAAACAGCAGGGCCGACGTCTCAAAAAGATCCATGAGGGTACGGCGACACACACATGTGTCGTACACTCATATACACATACACATACGCACAAGGGACACATACACATACACATACGCATAACGGGCAGGACTTCAAAAGGCCCTAGACACGCAACCTTAACACAGCGTATCCACTTACCCCCCTCCAACCCACTTTCCCCGCTCCAACCCACCTCAACCCAAAGCGCCAGTTATGCAGCCGCCATACTGCAGCCTACTACAGCCCCACACGTTCCCACAATGCCATTACCCAAAACAAAAGAACCCGCACAGTTTTGGAAGCCCCCGGTGACACCGTCCCGCCCAGCCCGCAATGCAAGTATACACACAGACATACAGACAGATACGGACACAGAGCTCAAGAGCTTCATGTGTATGTCTGTATGTCTATCCGTGTGTTGTCGCTGCAGGGGCCGCTGTCAAGCGCCACATTCATAAATGCCAGCAGCAGCACCAGCAGCAGCAGCAGCAGCAGTAGCAATTCGTGTGCTATGGTTCGGGTTGAGCGAGTTCCACCATCACACCGCGCAATCAGTTAGTTGATTTTAAGATTTGTTGTTTTTGATCATCATTATTATCACTTTTCATACACATGTCTTTGTGTGCATTCATCATCATCATCATCATCATCACCATCATCGGCTGCGGCGGCAGCAGCAGCAACTGTAGCAGCCGCTAAGGAGACCGTTAAGCACGGGGGTGAGTAGCGACGAATGTTTTGCATCCGCGGCAAAAAGACATACATACATACATACGGACAAATCTGCCCCAAACACCCGCCCTCATATCCAGCAGCAGACGAAAATATGCGAGTCCCTTCACATGTGCGCATTTGTATGTGTATGCATGTATGTATGTAAGTGCACGTGGGCGCAAACAGTTTCTTTCTTTCCTTCGGGGGAAAGGAAAAGATCCTCAACCCCCCCTTCACCACCCCCACCATCTCCACCCCCACCAAGGCGGTGGTCCACTTCGGGGGAAAGGAAAACCCGTTCAACCCACCACCCAACCCACCCATTAAAAGATGGAGGCCATGGAGACAATTCAGATCCAGATCTGTCATTCGAAGCATCAGCAGTACAGCATTCAGCAACATCCGTACAGCAGCAAAACACAAACACCCACACGGCGGCCAATAAACCGTATTAGCACTCCGATCATCATTATCATCATCATCGCCGTCATCACCATCAACAATGTTCAGCAGCAGCAAAAAAATACCACAATCACCATCATCATCACCACCACGAACAACAGCCGCAGAGTACAAAGACAGACATTCGCGTTTGGACTCCTCAAAGGGGGGGGCCGGCAAATTAGA